AGTGGCTCTGTATTTCCAAATTGTTTGAAACTATTTCTTCCCTTTATAACATACTTCCATAGAATTTTATAGGTATGAAAAACAAGTAGTTTTATAGAAACTTACAACCCTACAGAATTTAAGTTGTAAGCGTTCTGTAGAACTTTTCATAGAATAGTAGAACTGGAAGGGACCTTGATCATCCTATGGAACCGCTATGCCAGAAATATAGAAAATTATAACCCAGATATAAGTGGGTCATAGGTGGCCTTAAAATATACGGAGAGTTTCACTATTAATATAGAAGACATCAGTAAATGTTTTCATTTCAAGTCTTGAAGCATGTGTATTTTATGTAGTCAGTTAAGACAAAAGGAAAAAACTATGTAGCACTTTAAAGACTAACAAGATGGTTTAATAGGTGATGTGCTTTCGTGGGCCAGACCCACTTCCTTAGATCATATTCTGGAAGAGAATTGGCATGACCATATATACCAAAGGAATACAATGAAAAAAATGAACATATTATTAAACTGACATCAGATTTAGTACAGAAGATGGGATGAAGGAGAGGGAGGGAGGGAATAGCTATTTATGAGTGAATGAATGGCTAATCAGGATTTTAAGTGGGGAAGCTATCTTTGTAATGGGTAAGGTAATTAGCATCTTTGTTAAGGCTCATAAGATCTGAAGAAGTGGGTCTGGCCCACTAAAGCTCATCACCTATTAAACCATCTTGTTAGTCTTTAAAGTGCTACATAGTTTTTCCTTTTGTTTTAGCAAGATCAGACTAACACGGCTACCTCTCTATTACAAGTCAGTTAAGGACAGACTAGTCAACATGAATACAGTCAGGTTAAAACATCCAAATACCTAAAATTGTGCTTAAGAATTATCTGAGTTTTTATGTACCTGTGATACTTTACAAATCCAATTAACTATGAAAGCAATTTTTCTCCCCCCCCCCCCCCACTCGTCCATTTTACAGATGGTATTTATGCAAAAACTGGAGAGGGTCAGTTTGCTTTAAAATACTGCCTTTAAAAAAAAATCTTACAATTTAATGAAAACTTCTCTCATAGTCCCTTAGGCTTAAAGATAAAGCCCAGCGTTCCATACTGTAACTAACCTGGGAATGTTCTTACATTTCATGAAGCGCCTCTAGAGGACGGTTCAGGTGTGTCTACTCTGCACCGTAGATTGAAATAAGATCCTCCATTTGCGCAGCTCATGAGCTCATTTCAATGTTATTTCAAAATAGCTTATTTCAAAATTTGGCGCTGTCACACACCACTTATTTCTAAATAAATCTCTATTCTAAAACCTCCCTTATGCCTCGTGGAATGAGGTTTACAGGGACGTCACAATAGCGAGCCCATTGTATTTCAAAATAACAGCGTATAATGCAATGTAGATGTAGCCTCAGAGACTTACCTCCAGTAGTTTTCCTCCAGCAATCTCAGCAGTATGATGGTAGTTAGGGAAATCAGCAACCACTTTCCCACCTTCTAATTTAACAGTTGCCTGTAATAGAAATGTGTTTATCATTGTCTTGATGTGTAGGCTTTACGATGCACAACAGCTTTTCAACAGCCTCTAAAGAAAATAAGATGTGAAGGAACCCATGTGCGACAGTCCCTATTGTATAGTCTCAGACATGAACAAGATCAGAATCTTAGTACTTTAGCTCTTAAATATACGTTTTCACAACTTAAACTAGCAGTAGTAGCAGGAGGCATACCTGGGAGGTTGACAAATGCCTTTGATGTCGACTGCGGAGTGTCCAGACTACTGCGCTGAGCCGACAAACAGCTGATCGGCTCAGCATGGCAGCCATTTAAATTTAAATGAAGCGGCGATTATTTAAATCGCCACTTCATTTTCCTATGCTGGGTAGCCTAATCTACATTCCTCTGTCGCCAGAGGCATGTAGTCTAGACGTACCCTGAATGGCTAATCAGGGGTGTTAAGCGAGGAAGCTATCTTTGTTAAGGCCCATTCGTAATGGTGCAATGAGCAGCCAGGAGGAAGGGTACAGGAACAGGCTGGGGTAGAGTGTCTGGCCCGGGGTGGGGGGCACTTACTCGCCTTCGTGCCCCATGCTGGTCCCAGGCACTGCCTCCTGCTGCTCACATTGGCCAGATTCCATTGGAGCACCAGTGACGGCTTCCCACTGGGGGCAGGGGGCAATCTGGCTCGTGAGGAAGAAGTGCTCTTCCTTCTCTTCCTCCTCCTCCAATTGGGGGACGCGCAGCGCACTCGCACACTGCTGCTTTCCCGCTGGGCGGGGTGGTGTCTTCCCTACGAGCCGGATCACGCAGTGAGGCTCAAGGCTCTCTCTCTTCCACCCCCACTCTCCCGGTGGGAAGCTGGATTCCAATGGAATCCAGGACCAGCATGGGGCATGAAAGCAAGAAAGGCAGGGGAAGGAGTCGGGAGGGGGGACAAAAGTGCTAGTGCAGCCTCCCTGCTGCGGGGGGAAGGAGGGGAGCTGAGCTTGAGCCACAGACCATCTGGAAGGCACCGCGCAGCACCCTCACACTGACTTGGGAGACCATGGGGAGGTGCATTCGCACAGCTTCCACAGGCCCCTGGGCAAGGTGTGTGTGTGTATGGGGGGGGGCAGTTCTGTGCTTCCAAAAGGGGTGGGGCCGAGGGCAGAAAGGATGGGGCCATGGGCAGCTGGCCCTCAGCACCACCAGTGCACTACACACCAGCCCTCAGGCAGCCTTCACCACTGCCCAGAGTGCAGCATGCCCACTACACCTTAAGTTCCCATCAATGCCAGGAGCACAAGGCATGCTGATCCAGCAGTGATTTAAAGGGCCTGGGGCTTTGGCAGTGATTTAAACAGCTGTGGTGGTGTCCAGAGCCCCGGGTTCCTTTGAATTGCAGGACCCTGGGGAAATGGCCCCATTTACCACCCCCTCCGTTGGCAGGCCTAAGGGTGGCAGTTGTCCCTATGAGTTCTGAAAGGCAGTGAGCACCTTCTGGGGCAGTCATTCTACTATTTATTTTATTTTTGTAGTGACAATGTTCAAGTCCTAACTAAACCCTTAAGCCAATAGTCAGCTAGTTTGAAATTAAAAAAAATTAAAAGTCTCTGTGGGCATATTTCAAAATAAATTCATGTTAAAAACAGTGGGTAGGCAAAATAATATAGGACATCTCTTTGTATGTGCCAGGACTACAGCATTGAAACTCCCTCAGATGGGGTGTCAGATGCTACGGACCATAGTCAACTAAATTATGAAATGAAACAACATTAAATCATAAGATGAAATTAATTTACCTTGAACTTTTTACCTCCCATTGTCTCCATGTCTGCTTCCTTGCCAATGGTGAATTTATTGGTCATGGAGTGTCCTGTTGGATAGATCTGGGTCCAGATGAAGTCTTCTCCATTTTGTACCACTTCTGTGACAACCTTGAAATTCCTTCCCTTTTCAATGATATCGCTGGAGATACCTACCCAATGGAAATACTTTTATTATTAAACTAGAATCCCATCAATAACATTTTCTTCTGTATTTAAGCAAAACCATGGTGTGTTATTAGCCATACTGAGATCATCATGATTAACTTCACAGATCCCCATTCTTTTACATTGGTGTCTTAGTTCAGAATGTTGAAAGCATTCTTTGGAAGCAGTGAAGCCTCAACCCTATAGCTAGATGCTGCTCAAGAGCTGGAAGTGAGTTTGGAAAGTGTCCATGGTTGGGTGTTAAAAAAAAATTCAGCTATATCTACCCAGTCTATGCACTTGTATGCTCATAAAGTTACATGTGCACAACATTTTTTCTGTACTTTGCAGGAAAAAACATGTATTACATTGTAATATTTAAATATGTCATTTAAATAGCTGAACAGGTGCATGAATGCAAACTTTTATACTTTCAGAATCCTGTAACCACATTGGATTTTACAGCTGCCTGCGCCAGCCTTAGCTTTTTAAAAGTTCGTATGGCAATAGTGTGCACTCCCCTGACTCCTGCAGAGGGTAGTCATGAGTTTGTACCACCACAACTGAAGTATGAGGATTGAACATGGGACCTCCTAATTCATTGCATTTACAAGTATCTTTGGGGCTGATTCTGCTTCTACAAAACTCAGTAAAGGTATGTCTACACTACCCCGCTAGTTCGAACTAGCGGGATAATGTAGGCATACCGCACTTGCAAATGAAGCCCGGGATTTGAATTTCCCGGGCTTCATTTGCATAAGCGGGGAGCCGCCATTTTTAAAACCCCACTGGTTCGAACCCCGTGCAGCGCGGCTACACGGGGCTCGAACTAGGTAGTTCGGACTAGGATTCCTCGTTCCTATTCCTAGAATAGGAATCCTAGTCCGAACTACCTAGTTCGAGCCCCGTGTAGCTGTGCTGCACGGGGTTTGAACCAGCGGGGTTTTAAAAATGGCGGCTCCCCGCTTATGCAAATGAAGCCCGGGAAATTCAAATCCCGGGCTTCATTTGCAAGTGCGGTATGCCTACATTACCCTCCTAGTTCGAACTAGGAGGGTAGTGTAGACATACCCTAAGACTTTAGTGGAAGCAGGCCTCTGCTTTGCTGTAGAATAGATGGTGTTATTCTGAAGATATGATTGAAGAAAATTTGTTGAAGATCTAACCCTTGCTAGCCTGGAGCTGATGGATTTGATGCTCAGCACTTTCTGATGGGTATCAAGCACCCTCTGCATCTGGCAGGAGCAAGCCCCAAAACTTTGCATTGTTTTATCTAGTAACTTATTAAAACTTGTCAAGATTCACTGAGAAAAATATCCATACATACTCACCAATATGCTTCACAAAGGCGTCATAGTTCTCCTCACTTTCCACTTCATATTTGCCTGTGAAAGCCATGCTACCTCCAAGAGGTGGCTGGTGCAGGAGAGCAGCTGTTGTGATAAAGAAATTTTACTGGGTACAAACAGGCTCAAAGCTCTCGCTTTATAAACCTTCCCAAGCTGCTTATACCCACCCCCTGATCATTCCACCTGTCTGCCACACCTCTCTGAAATACTGTCTGAGTCGGGAGCCTGGGTGTTATTGACCCTCGTGAAATTGCCTGTTTACAATTTTATTATAACTCCTTGTCCTTGGTTTATACAACAGGAAGGATCAGTTGTTTTACAAGTGCTGACCCTCACAGCTGGGATTTATTTTAAAAACGAGAACAGAAAATGTAGTTAATTTATTTGAAACAAATCAGTTGTTTGCAGATGATGTATTTGCAAAAGTTCTGGTTTGACTGCTTCTGATTGTGTACCTATAAGCAAGTCACTTAATTTCTTTTGGATGGTGTTTCCCTATTTAAAAGGGATGATAATACAGTACCTACCATTATGAAGGGCTTCAAAATCTGAAGAAAAATGTAGTATTATTGACTCCGATTGAAAAGATCGCTTTTTCAATTTAAGTGCAATGTAAGATCTACTGCCAACCCAAATACCCTAGCCTAGCTTCTTTCTCCCCCTTCTCTGGGGCCCTGCCCCTGCTCCATCCCTTCTCCAAGGCCTCAAGTTTCTCAAACTTTTTTTTATAAAATACCCCTTTTTCAAAAAAAAATTTATAAGTACTCCGAGTACCAGTTTTCTCACACACTTTTTTTTACGCTGTTGCATCACATTTGCTTAAACAACTTGGGTGCGTCTAGACTGGCAAGATTTTGTCCAAAAGCACTTGCTTTTGCACAAAAACTTGCCAGCTGTCTACACTGGCCACTTGAATTTGTGCAAGAGCACTGACGTTCTGATGTAAGAATTCTTGTGCAAATAGTTTGACGCTCCCGCTCAGGGATAAGCCCTCTTGCACAAGAATACTTGCGCAAGAGGGCCAGTGCAGACAAGCACCTTAATTTTTTGCGCAAGAAAGACCGATGGCTAAAATGGCCATCAGAGCTTTCTTGTGCAAAAGCGCGTTTATACTGGGCACGGATGCTTTTGCGCAAAAGCACTTTTTGCGTAAAAGCATCCATGCCAATCTAGATGTTCTTTTGCGGAAATACTTTTAACAGAAAAACTTTTCCGTTAAAAGTATTTCCGCAAAATCATGCCAGTCTAGATGCAGCTCTTAATTGTAGCTGGGTGGGTGATGAAATATTTGGGTGTAAAAAGTACAAAAATAATACAAATGCTGTAAAACAAAACAAAAATCCACTTTTCTCCAAATTTCAGTTGTGTTGATGTACCCCTGGGCTTCTCGTGGGTGCCACTAGGGGTTGAGAGGCACTGCCCTAGGCCTCCACTCCCTTATCCTGTCTTCCTAATTCAGAAGCCTGGTCTACCTCTGGGGGAACCTGTGTTGGCTATCCAGCTGCTCCCAGGGTTTGAAACCACCACCTTGTGCTCTGCAGGTGAATGTGCTATCCTCTACACCACTCCAGCGCTGAGCTGAGCCCACCCCCTCTCCCCTATCTTTGATGGGTTCTGTATTGGCCATCTGGTTGCTCCCAGGGTGGGCAGAGCTTGGGCTGCTGGATGGAGACTCCAACCCACAGTCCTGTCCTTCCCCAGGCAAGTGCTGTATTTGTAGTCTACTGAGGATCTGAGCCCACCCCACCTCTCTGCCTTTGGGGAGGGGAGGGGGGAAGAGGGTCCCTTGTCCTGTGTCTGGTTGCTTGTAGGGTAGGCAGTGGAACGTGGGCTGCCTGGGGGGCAAGGGGAGGGCTTGAACCTGCCACCCTGTGTTCCCTAAGCAAATGCCCTATCCCCAGTCCAGTCCACTCCACCACCTTTCTTTCAATAGGTCCCTTATCCTGCCTTCCTAATACAGAAGCCAGGTCCATCCCTCGGGCAGCCTGTCTTGGCAGCCCAGCCATTATCTGAGTGGGTGGAGGGGGGGCGAGATCAATCCCACCAGCTTGTGCTCCAGAGGCAAATGCCCATCCCCAAGTTCACTGGAGATCCCGTCCACCTCCCTACCTTCAAGTCATCCCCTCCGCTCACCCTGGGAGTGACCAGACACAGGATAAGGGAGCCTTTGATGGCAGAGAGGTGGGGTGGACTAGGGGATCAAGCAGTTACCTGAGAAGTACAGAGTGGTGGGTTCAAGTCCTGCCCACCCTAGGAGCAGTTAGACAGCTGCCCCAGGGATGGAGCAGCGGAGCCAAGGCAGCCCCACCCTATCCCCAAAAGCAGCTGGCATGTACAGCAATGGCTCCATGTGCTGCTCCTCATCCACAGGCACGGATGATGCCACAGTTCTCCATCACTGATCAATGGGAGCTGCAGGAGTGGTGTCTGCTGGCAAGGACAGCATGTGGAGAACCCCTGCTCTGACCTTCTCAGGGGGCTGCAGGGACATGCCAGCTCCAGGAGCACAACTAACCAGAGGGATAATTACTCCAGTCATAACAGGTTAGGCACTTTAGTACTTAAAGAATTAAATTTAGGCATAAGAGAGAAATGAAAGTTATGAAATGCACTGACCAGTCAAACACTAAAACGAACCCACTTTGCAAGCAGTAAAAGTAGTAACAACCCCCCATGTACATGTTGGGTCAGGAGATGAGAGGGAAGGACAGTGTGTGTTTGTGAGAATGACAGAGACATACACAGTGTGTGAAAGAAACAGAGATTTGTATTGCCAAGCTCTCTCCATCCCCTTCTCTCTGTGTGGAGATGGGGTACAGGATTGGGGGGAGGGACACCCTGACAGCACACCCCCTCTTCTCCCTCCCACACACTGCACAGCAAAGAGGAAGCTTCCAAGGGGCAGCTCCAAGGCAAGAGAATAGGAGCAGCATGACAGTGGGTGGAGGGGCAACTGAAGTGCCAGCACTTGAGAGCTTCCTGGCCAAACCAGTCAGGATCACCTGTCAGAGGCTCCAAGATCTACTGGTAGATCCCGATCAACTGGTTGGTGACCACTGCATTAGAGAGCAGACTGTCACCTCCACATGCAATCTCAGGGGCTATCTCTGCCTCTACCTCTAAGCAAGGGGTAGAGTCAATAGAACTGGGGGCCAATTTACTTATCATTATTGTTGCAGGGAGGATTTTTTTTCTCTGGAGTCTGGACTTTGATTATACATTGACCAAAAAATTTGGACCTTGTCTGGAAGCATCCCTAAAGTAGAAAATATACCAGGCAATACCCTTTCTTCCCTTCAAGGCTCTGTGTAGACATGGTAAGATTTGATCCTGGCAGGACAGCTCTAATGCATTGAGAAATCACAAGGCAAGTTTTCTCAAAGTTATGATATTATAAAAAGCAATTACTAGGTTCTTATTATTTATCTTCTGGTTTTGGAGTACCAAATCATATTTTCCTGCTTTATTCCTCAAGGCTAGATTTTTTTAAAGAATAAACCTGATTACTATATAATTTCATAACTCTAGGAACTGAAGCTTTGAGAAAAGAATCAAATATGAGATGTTATAAAAATTGCAAGAGCTGGAAATACTGATAAAATACAATAATTTGACAACCTATAACCTCCTTCTATCACCCCAAATGATTCACTATTCCTAATTTGACAGTGTCAGAAATGATACATTAGGGCCTTTTTAGATGTATGGTTAAGACATCCTGGATCAGGTCCTAATTTCTTAAATACATTCGCTATTTGTAATCTAAGGGCCTGTATTATGTGACAACAAAATTTTCCTTTTCAGTCCCTGGTGGAGAGGGGTTTCATATGTCTTTCTGGGTATGTCTACACTACAAAGTTAATTCGAACTAACAGCCATTAGTTTGAATTAACTTTCATAGGTGCTACACAGGCAAACTTAATTCGAACTAGGTAAACCTCATTCTACAAGGACTAACGCCTAGTTCGAATTAAGGGTTGTGTAGCCACTTAATTCGAACTAGTTGGAGGCTAGCCCTTCCCAGGTT